CGTCGAGGTGCGGCGCTACTGGACCAACCCAGCAGCACCCCAGCTGCTCTGCCCCAGGCGTCCCCGATTCAGCCGCTGCTGGTCAGTTTCAACAGTTGCTGAATCTGGACGCCAGTTCCGACTTACATACAAATTCAACTTAAGAACAAACCTACAGTCCCTATCTTGTACGTAACCCAGGGACTGCCTGTATTGGAAAGAAGCTTCATTTTGAAGACTGTATTTGTGATGTGAAAGTCCCTTCAGTGCTGCTATTGCAAAGAGATGGCTTTGTAAACAGTGTTCTACTTCCTTACCTCTGATGGTCAAAGCCAATGTGACTTCTCCAATCAAGTCAGTTTCTGTTAATCTCCTTTGTGCCACTTCAGGCCTAGGTCACTTAGGCGATTGGTCTTATGCACCTATGTTTGTATACATCTTTTAAAGGGATGTTGCATGAAAAGCCAGAACATAAATGAATTGTTTTGCCCTATCAGTGCTTCCATATGGAATGTCATACGTTTCCTGAACATCCAGGAGCTAGAACTGTTGATAGTTGACTGGGAAGAAGGAGAATAGAGTGAAATCAGACATATGTCTTTGTCAGACTACGGACCAGTTGACACTACACAGGCTTAGCCAATACAGCTGTACTGGTATAGCTATGGCTACAGATTCTCCTAGTGTAGTCACAGTGTACGCTAAGAAGTTTTTTCTATAGGCGTAGTAACACCATCTTCCTAAACAACACTAACTATGCCAAGTAGGGATGTAATTGAGTAGTCGACTATCTGATAAGCTTATGCTTATTGGGTAGTTGAGTCTGTATTAGTAGCAGCAAAGAGGGAGGGAAGTAGGTGCCAGTGCTGGGGGGAGCCAGCTTAAAAGCTAGTTCCTCCCCAGCACTGTCTCTGCTGTGCTGCTTGCCTTTCCCTCCCCCATGCTGCTGTCTCTATCAGAGGCAGGAGCAGCCTCTGTGGTCCTGGATGCAGTACAAGCTGGGTCTGAGCAAGCCCGGCTTGGTCCTGGCTTATGCTGGATCTGGGACCACTGTGGCTCTGCATTTTAAATGTAGTAAGAACCAGGCTGGCTCCCAGACCACGTGCCAGCTGAGTCTGAGCGTCTTCCCTTATCGATTAATTGTGTAGTTGATACAAATTGTATTGACTATACAGAATAGTGATAGAGATGCAGCTGTGTTAGTCTAGTGTAGCTGAAACAAAGACAGGACTATGTAGCACTTTAAAGACTAACAAGATGGTTTATTAGGTGATGAGCTCTCGTGAGCCAGACCCACTTCCTCAGACCAAGTGGGTCTGGCCCACGAAAGAAAGCCCATCACCTAATAAACCATCTTGTTAGTCTTTAAAGTGCTACATAGTCCTGTCTTTGTCGTCTCTTAGCTTCTGTCAGCATTAAGAATGTTTTCTTCTGTCCGCCCAGTTGCATTGCTATGGGGACTTTTGCTGGCTTCACTGTTGGCTAAGGGTATGTGATTGTGTTTCTTTTAAACACCCCTGCTAGACATAGCTCTCTCTACACTTTGTAGTATACACCTGGCATCGATAATGCTGCCATGTACTATTACTGTTGTCATGTTTTATCTCAGGCCATGTCTTCACTTAGGGGAAGATTGTTGCAACTGCGATGGATTTTCTGGTATTAGATTTAGCAGGTCTAATTAAGACCCACTAAATCGAACTCAGTGTGAACTCTCCTTGGCGGCCTGTATTCCTACACTCGTGCGGAGTAAGAGATTCATTTGCTCCCATTGACCTCCCACCATGGTGATGGTGAAGAAACTTGAATCAAGGTACGTTGATTCCAGCCACATAATCAACATAGCTAGAGTTGCAAATCATGGTTCAACCTTCTCTTGTAGTGTAGACCTGGCCTTGGAGGTAATGTTGCAGTGGTGGGCAAAACAGTTTAATCCTCTCTGTCAATCTGTATTTAAAATCAGCCCATCTACAAGTGTGTGCAACTCCACTGCAGTCAGTGGAATTATCCTGCTTCAGTTAAGGGCTGAATAGGACTCCTAATCCAGTGGTGCTCAACCTTTTTTAATTCGCAACCCCCAGGGCCAGGAAAATTTTGGTTGAGCAAAAAAAAAAGCTATTCGGAACATTTTGTTGCGGCCCCTCCCCCTGCCATGTGTACGTTGAGCACTGAGCAGGAAAAACAAAATGGTGGCCAGTGACTCCTCACTGCCTGTGCACCGCTGTCCTAATCTATACAGTCAGTTAGGTACGTGGGAGTCCTTGAAATGAGATGTGCTATAAAAAGATCAAAGTGCATCTGCTTTATAAAAAGAACATGCTTGTCTATACATTAAGCTATTGGTTAAAAACTCCTTCATATAGATTAGTTGTTTATCATTGTTACCTTCTTGTTAAAGCCCTGCGAATCCACTGGTATCTGCGGGTATCCACATTTACTGATGTTGATGCAGGTATCTGCAGCTCATTTTTGTGGATATGGATGCGGTTACAGTTTTTATATCTAGAACCCTGCACATTTGTGGATATCCTCTTTATATCCACTGCTGTCAGCATCTTTCTGGCTCATTTTTGTGGCTACAGGTGCAGATACAAATTCTGTTTTCCTACAGGGCTGTACTACTTGGAGCTCCAAGAATATAAAACTGTGTAGATAATCCATTTTGCTATATTGAGATGCAAATCGGGCTTTTTAACCAGATAACGTAAAACTTGGGGTATGTTGACATTAAAAAGCATGGAAACTTTTCTGTGAAACCTAAATTCTTTATGAAAAGTAAATTGAGGTGGCTACGTATGCTTGCTGACTTTCTATAGGCCTATACTTTCTCCTGTAAAAGGTTTTATTGTTAAACCTACAACTTTTCCTCCATGTTTCTCAAATGGGCTCATCAAACCTTTTATGGAACTGAAAGTGATTGGTTTTCATGTTGTGCATGGTTGAGACTATTTCACTCTCAGCTGAATCTTAATCTGAATTTTTATCTATGACAGAGAAACTAAACTGCAGCTCTACAGAGTATACATTTTAATTAATTTTTCCTTCCTAAATAAGTATGACAAATTTTCCAGGTAACAAGCTTTACTATTGTTCAAAACTGGATGCTGATGCTCGAGGATCTTTTTTTGTAATCTGGATCATTTTTCGTCATTGCATAATTATTGGTTTAAACCAGGGGTCACCAACTAGTAGATTGAGGTCTACTGGTAGATCTTGGAGCCGCTGACAGGTGATCTTGACTAGTTTGGCCAAGAGGCTGTCAAATGCTGGCATTTCAACTGCCGCTCCACCCCCTGCTGTGCACCTCCTGCCCTCAGAGCTGTCCTGCCCTCCCATCTGCTTGCTGTGCAGAGCAGGGAAGGAAAAGGAGAGGGCACTGATATCAGGGTGCCTGCTCTCTCACCCTGTAGTCTATCTCCACAGAACGGAGGAGGGCACTACGGGGCTTGGGATGGAGAGAGTTTGCTGGCTGCTCAGTGTCCAGCTGGAGCCTGCATCCTGAACCCCTTCCCCAGTCATAAATCCCCTCCTGCACCCCAAGCCCCTGCCCTAGTCCTGAGTTTCCCCCTATAAACTCCCTTACAGAGTCTGTACCCTGAACCCCCTCCTGGATCCCAACTCCCTGCCCCAGGCTCAGCTCAGAGCCCCTCACACTCTAAATCCCTTAATGCAAGACCAGAGCCTGCATCCCAACCCTCTGCCCCTGCCTAATGAAAGGGAGGAAGGAAGGAGGAGAGAGAGAACGAGGGAGAATGGAGTGAGCAGGGACAGGGCCTTGGAGAAGGGGCACAGAGGATGCCCGGCAAGGGTATTTGGGTTTGAGGTAAATCCCTGGATTGCACTTAAATTCAGAAAAAGTCATCTAGTGTTTAAAAAGGGTGGCGATCACTGGTTTAAACAATAGAAGAGTCAAATGATGGTGAACTGATATTTTCTTTCATTCTAGAATGCTTTGCTGCTTAATTTCTCAAGAAAAATGTTTGAAAAGTCTGTATCAAGATAAAAATTGCATATTGAAAATTATCTTGACCTACTTTAATGTAGTTTTTAGATTATGAATATTGAAACAAAAAATCATTTTCTCACTTCAGCATTTTGCATGTGTTGGAGAAGGAAGCAATACTGATCAGTTTCATGTCTTTAAGTGGTCTGTTTCCAGTTAGTTTCATTATCTGGCTTTTGTACAGCATCTTGCAAAATACACTGGGCTGAGTAAGTATTTATTTTACGTGACTCTCAAAACTGGGTGTGGGTGGGTGGATGGATGGAATGGATGCGTAGGTTTGGTGCCTTGAATAGCAAAACCCTAGTGCTATTGTGTTTGGTTTCACAGGACTGCAAGTAGATGCATCAGAATTAGTTTTTTCTTTTTCTTTTAATAAAACTTGTAGTAAAACTTTTTTGAAAGGGAAAAGATATAGTACTGATCTGAACTTCTAGTAAAAACAAGCTGTTGGGTCTTAAACTGCTAATTTCTATATGTAGGCAGCTAATATAGTGGTTGTCAACCTTTTTTCATTTGTGGATTGCTAAATAATTTAGAATAGAGGCAATCTTAGATCGGTATCTGCAGATTCTCAGGTGTCTGCAGGCTTCAGATAGAAAACAACTTTCAATCCTGTTATAGAATACTAGAACAGGAAGGAACCTCGAAAGGTCATCAAGTCCTTCCCCCTGCCCTCATGGCAGGACCAAGCACCATCTAGATCATTCCTATTGGATGTCTATCCAAACTGCTTTTAAATATCTCCAGCGATGGAGATTCTACAACTTCTCTAGGCAATTTATTCTAGTGTTTGACCACTCTGACAGGAACTTTTTCCTAATATCCAACCTAAACCTCCCTTGCTGCAATTTAAGCCCATTGCCGCTTCTCTTATCCTCCAAGGCCCAGGAGAAAAATATTTCTCCCTCCTCCTTGTGACCGTTTTAGATGTAAAGAGATGGATACATACAAATTGATCGGCGAATCTGGGATTGCAGAGTGTTTATTTCTTGCTCTGCCAGTGTTATTAAAAGCGTTAGCTTTAGGAGACAAAGAAATGAGCTGTACAGTAGTGAATGTTTTGCAGTATTTCTGTTTGAATGTCCTGTGTACAGAATTGTGCATTGGGTCTGAACCAGTATGTGCTATCACACATTTCGGTTGTTCTGTTTGGCCTTGGCATTAGGCGGGGAGGGGTGTGCTGCATTGTGGAGTAATGTTTTTCCTTCTCCAGCTTGTCCCCAGGGAAAGGTGTGCCTATTGTGAGTTTCCTATGATTACTTCCTTTAAATTATTGTGAAGTGTTGTGGGCTGCTGATAGCTGTGCCATTTTAGAGCTGTTCCTTCACAATGACTAAACTCTGCAAATCTGATTTTTAACTTTTGTCTACATACACTGAGTTCTCTTGATAAATTAACATTTGAGTTGTAATGTTTTTTGGTGGTGTCATGGCTGTAATTTGTGCTTCCTGACTAGCACCGCTGCAGCTCTGTTTCAGTAGAGGCTATCTGATTTAGCAAGTACTAATGCTGGCAAAATAACTTTCAGTATCTCTTAGCTTTCAGTCTTTATTCAGACAAATCCACACACTATCTCAGTTGTCGAAACTTGCTTGAGGCTTGGTGTGAAATCATCTTAGCTTCCTTCAGCGAAATGTCTCCAGATATTGCCCTGAAGGTACAGGTCTATGAGCATCCCCAAACAAAGCTCTGTTTTCTGTGGCTTTTCTATACTCAGACTCCCTGTTGTTTCTGCTATTGGTAAAATGGTGTTATGCTTGACCCTGATCTTCTCCTCTCATGCTTCTCTTCTGTGTGAGGAATTTTGTGCAGGCACATTTGGAAGACCCCATCTAGGCTTCGCTGTCAGCCAAGAGCTATAGAAATCCTTCTTTGGAGTATCCCTGAAATTGCTTTACAAAAAGGCTCTTTCTGACTAAAGCCTGGTTTGTTTTCTCCCTTTTCTATCCAGTCTGGAATGTATTTGCCTTTTGCCTTTCTGTGCTGAAAAACATTTAAAGCCTACTCTAATATCAGTAGACAGTTGAGAGGATTAAATAAGTTCCCTCCTACCTTCAGTGGTTCTCTTGGCCTTATTTTCTCTAATTTTCCAATTTTACTCTTGTAGTCTGTTCCCTCTGGTTTATTATTCTGTCTTAAGCGCTAGTTAGAGAGAAATCTGCTTTTGGAATAACTTTTGGCTTTTATCTTTGTAGAGAAGCATGTTTTCATAGAATCATAGAATACTAGGACTAGAAGGGACCTCAAGAGGCCATCGAGTCCAGTCCTCTGCCCTCATGGCAGGACCTAGTACTGTCTAGACCATCCCATATAGACATTTAGCTAGCCTACTCTTAAATATCTCCAGAGATGGAGATTCCACAACCTCCCTAGGCAATTTATTCCAGTGTTTGACTACCCTGACAGTAAGGAACTGTTTCCTAATGTCTAACCTAAACCTCCCTTGCTGCATTTTAAGCCCATTGCTTCTGTTCTATCCTCAGAGGCCAAGATGAACAAGTTTTCTCCCTCCTCCTTATGACACCCTTTTAGATACCTGAAAACGGCTATCATGTCCCCCCTCAATCTTCTCTTTTCTAAACTAAACAAACCCAATTCTTTCAGCTTTCTCCACATCCTTCTTGAAATGTGGTGCCCAGAACTGGACACACTATGCCAACTGAGGCCTAACTAGCGCAAAGCAGAGCAAAAAAATGACTTCTTGAGTCTTGCTCACAACACACCTGTTAATGCATTCCAGAATCATGTTTGCTTTTTTGCAACAGCATCACACTGCTGACTCCTATTCAGCTTGTGGTCCACTATAACCCTAAATCCCTTTTTGCCGTACTCCTTCCTAGACAGTTGCTTCCCATTCTGTGTGTGTGGAAACTCGAGGGCAGGGCTACTCAACTCTTGAAGCCCCGGGGGCCACAATGATACTCACAGGACATGCCAAGGCCCCCAACTTAAGTGTGGTTGCATGTACATGCAAATAGCTTCTTTCACACTGATGGGCATGAATACAAAGATTAAGCCTTAAGCCACGGCACTGAACCCAGAGGTGGCCAGTGTGAGCCAGTGAGCACCTCTCAGGCTCTGTCCACAAGACTAAGCAGCCAGCACTACCCACAATGCCCTGGCACTCCTGGCACCTCCTCCCTGGGGTTAGAAATGCCACAACTTTGTACCCATCTGTTCCAGCCAGCCCATCTACTTGCGTCTTTCAGTACTCTCTCCACCTGGGAGACTCCTCACTGTTGTGAAGCATGCTCCAGTGGAGGGCATGTTCATCCTTCCCACAGGCCACATGTTGAGCCCTGCATAAACCCAAACTCCGCCGTGAGCCGCAAACAAATGGGCTGTGGGCTGAGTAGCCTTACTCTAGGGTGTGGGCGTGCACCCTAATTTTACTCCTACCCACCTCATCAGCAGCTGTCAGCTTCCATGATGTGGAAGGTAAGATGGTGGTGGGCGGGAGAGTGGGGGGGCCAAGATTGTGTGGCGTTGACTGGAGTCGGTCCCAGGGCTCGGGCTGCATGGCAGTGGACAGAGCTGGGCCCAGAGCTGGACTGCGTGGCACCGGGCGGAGCTGGGGGCCAGAAGCTGGGTCCATGTGGACTTGCATGTCCCAATGGGAGAGTGGGACTAACAGCCATAGGAATGTGCTTGTGGGGGGAAAAGTGGTTTATTAATCCCTTGGTTGGGGACAGTGCCTGTGTGAGGTATGGGCTTGACTGTCATGCACTAGAAGTCAGAATGACATGATGAATAAGGAATTTTGGTTGTGTGGAGGTGGGGGTAAAATGGATGTACAGATGGAATATGCTGAAATGTAGCTTTAGCTAAATAGAGGAATACTGCTTTCTTACTAGTGCTTAACTGCTCCTAAACACGTTTGTTTTTATCATCTCTAATCATGATAGTATAATGTGATGCAGAGATAGCAATACACTTTCTTGAAAACACTGTATTCTTTATTTATGAACATGTCTTAAAATAGGAAAACATACATAGCATTTAGCAGGTCCACTGCCATTCATTCTCTCTCTCTCTCACTCTCACTCAGCCTAAGAGGGAAGAGTGAGTTTCTACTAGGGATGTTAAGGACTAGTCAACGATCCGATAACCATTTGCTTATCGGATAGTCTGTTGACTAGGTGATTAGCCGAATCCTTATCCATTGCTGCCTCCTGAGATAGGGGCAGCAAAGTCGGGGGAGGAAGGGGCAATTCAAAGTGGCAGTGCTGCACAGCTGAGCTGGGGATCAGCTGTGCGGTGACTGCCCCTTTGAAACGCTGCCTCCACGTTTCAGAGGGGCAGCCATGGAGCCCAGGGTCAGCTGGGCACTCCTCAGCTGATCCCGGGTTCCGGGGAAGTGTTGCACAGAACCGGGGTTAGCTGGGGGAATACCTAGCTGATCCCAGGTTATGCTGGGCTCTGCGTGGCATTTCAAAGTGGTAGTGCAGCATGGAGCCCAGGGCCAGCGGGGGGACTCTGAGTCCCCCGCTGGCTCCAGGCTCCATGGCTTTGAAATGCACAAGAGCCCCCTCTGGGGACTCTTGCACATTTAAAAGCAGGCACTCATGTGTAGCCCTGAGTCAGCGGGACGTCTGTATGCAGAGTTCTGCATTGTACATTTCAAAGGAGGAATGTGGAAGTGCCTGTCAAGTAGTCGATGGCAATTCCATCTACTACTCGATTAATCGATCAACTGCATTTTAACATCCCTAGTTTCCTCATGAGATAGTTTGGAGAAGGAAGGCCGCACAGGATTTAATTGCCCTGCCCTGCCCACTCATGAGTTTGGAATGCACAGGCCGCCCTGACACAGAGCTGTCCAAGCTACTGCTGGATTGCCTGTGCGCTCTGGCATAAAACAAAGACTATTATTTTTCACCTTTATTATACATAATTTTTATTAATACATACTTAAGCGTTGAAGAACGTTTGAGTTGATCAGATCAGACAAGGGAAATCTGCACTTGATTCATCAGAGAGCTTTAGCTCTGATTTATGTCTTGTGTGCAGAACAGGCATTCCATGTAACTAAATTTTCTAAGTTGGCTGCTGTTCTGTAATAAATAAAAAAAATGAACTGTCTAAATAAAAAGAACTGAGGGCAGTGGTGGGGAGACACTGGATTGACTTGTCCTCTGATCCAAAATAAAATATAGCCCTGAGGCACAATGTGAATGGGGAGAAATATTCAATAAGCTCTTATCTA